TCTCTTTTTGAGAAGAACATGAGAAAAGATCAAAAGAAAGAAAAATAAAATGTCTAATTTTATGTTGGTTGACTGGTCTGTCATTATTTTGGTGCTCTATGAACCCCAAAAGTTTGCTTCCAATACTGCACATGTATGTGTGTGTGTGTGTGCGGGCGCTCACATATAGCAGAGTGTTGGTGTGCGTCTTGACAGATGTATAAATATAAGCTGCATTTATTCAGCCGTGGCCTCCCTCTGCATACCTGCATGGCCTTCCATACAGAATAATATGAAGGCATTAAGTTGTATATACACACACCCTGGTAGAAGAATGAAAAATTATATTGTGGGATTAGAAGAAGTCAATCACTCAAGACCAAAGAAAGAAAAATTGCAAAAAAATATGTCATCATTTTTAATAACTCTACTAAGTACTTTTAATTATTTTTGGAGTAATTGAATCAATTTGACCAATTTAAATTGTTATGATTGCTTAAATAAAGAACATTTTCTGGTCAGAGCTTTATAGTATTATTATTATTTTTATATTATTACAGCATTGGTTGTTTTTTGCCGTTTAATATCATTACAAAATGTTCAAATAAAATTGTTTGGCAATAAATGATGGAAATTTGTCATATTTTCAGTAAAAGACTATTTTCTGGTTTGACAGTTAACAATATTTATTGACGCCCACTAATGAATCTAATGTAAAAAGTATACCAGAAAAGGAATTTACTTTGAATTTTTTGGTGCTATATATAGGTTTTGTCTTATCTCAACTTTTTTCAGACTTTTAACACAATTTTATTTGTTTTAATTTTTGTTATCTCTATCCATTTCAGAAAATACATATTGTCCCTATGCTATGACTTAAATAATAAATAATCACCTGAAAACTGCACAATCACATAGACCATTGGAGACCTTTGATCTGTCCTCTCCACAGGAGGACCCTGCTACTATAAACTGATAATCAGTTAACACATTACATATTTTTACATAGATGTTATGCTGTAAAGTATGTGTATCTAAAAATATGTAATGTGTTAATTATTTTTAAGTGTCTATTTTTCCCTTTCCCTTTCCCTGCTGGAAAGACTATCGGTAGTGGACACATTCCTTGATGTTCTGTAAGGTATCACATTTTCATCTTTTAATGATATTTTTACCCCAAAAAAGTGTTTTTTCACCCATATTCTTTTTACAGATATTTTAAAATCCAAATTATTAATAGGTTTTCTACAGTATTTCTATAACCCAAAACAACCCTACACAACCCCAACCTGCTCCCTGGTCCACTGCTATTTCTTCAGAGGGATCACTACAACACACTGACGGTGGTAAACCGCCATCATACCTGAGATTCCAGAGAAATTACTGAAGAAGCTAGTGAAAGCAGCTGGACTGCCCCTCTTCGAGCGTCACTTTCTCGTTATTGTGGACCACGCTGTCAAACACTGAAACTCCGGCACATTCCTGCCAACCGCAAACACCCAAATAAAGAAATCACTAAGACGCCCTGGAGGTGGAGACGACAGAGAGAGGGAAAAAGAGAGGCAGGTATGGAGGAGAAGACAGACAGAGGAGAGAGAGAAAGTGTGTGTGCGTGTATGCGTGTGTGTACATGAGCATGGGTGGGAGTTTGTGGAGAGAAACCACAGTCAATTACACCTTTACTCATCACATTACAGGCCAACTGAAATTAGAGCAGTCGTGTGTTAACAGGGCAAAAACAAACAGGCTGAATTTCCTCCAGGAGAGAGAGGTTTAGACCCGACCTGGCAACCCACGCACTGCCAGACAGATCAATTACTCCTCTTTCATCAACTGAACTGCAGTGTCACTCATCTGCATTATGTAGCCAATACATATATCCCACTTTCCCTTGCAAACACGAAGCCTCTGTGCAGCGCTGCTCCTCTCAGTGTCGGAGAATGTTTTTCTTTGCATCAGTAATCTGAAGGTCGGAATAATGGCTGGGCCAAGCATTTTTAAGGTCGTAATTTTTGTAATAATAAACCTTTTGCTTCACAGCAGTGGCCTGCAACAGCTGCAGCTGTGCTAAAGACGCTAAACAAAGTAGAATCCTGGGGAATTCATTATTTGATAGATCATTAAAGGAGCAGTCTAGATGTGTTTGTAGATGGTACCTGTTGCCTCAGTCTTGCTTTTACAGGTTGGTTTTATAGTTTATATGGATGATGCTCATCAGATTCCTCTCCAAATGAGAAATTTGCCATAAAGAACCATGATCTCCAACATTATATTTTATTAATGAATTAAATTTCCCAAGAGCCCAAGTTGATGTCTCGTTTTGTCAGACCAACAGACTGAAATCCAAAGATATTCATATAGATATTCTCCTACACACTTCACAGCCCGTTCTCATTCCCAGGTCGTCAAATACAGACGCGAGTGGTGTTCAGTTAGTTGCAATCTGAAACTTTACCACTAGATGACACTAAATCCTACACACTGGTCCTTTAAGAAATAACTTAAAAGAAGCAGAAGAAAGAAGTTAAAAGAGATAGTTGCCAATTCTTTGGCTGTGGATGAATAAGAACACCCGAAGAAAGTCTAAACTTGAAGAGGTGAATGTAAAAAATGTTCAAAGTCAACACTACTCATTATGTTACTTAAGACTATATTGTTGAAGCGCAACATGATTTTGAAGTACTCCACAATTTTCTGTTTTCACAAGCTACCTGTCGTAGCCTAAGCTACTGTTGCTGTATGCAGGCCCACGCTAACAGCCCACTCTCCAAACAGAGCTGTATCTCCATCATCATGTTGCTGTGTTGTGATGAAACTTGAGGGGGAATCTCTCCACCTCCAGTTCTGTCTTGTTGGAAATTGTGGCACTCAAGCTCGTCTATGCATAAACACATACACACACCTGTTAGAAAAACAAAGTGCTATTTTTTTTTCCTTCAAGTGTGCCAATTTGCCTTT